CTTAAAACAAGAAACAAACTAGGTAATGCATCAAATTACACTCAACAGATCATTATACAGTTTCACAAGTTTGACACTTTTTTTGTTGTTGACTTTTTTTAGTATCGTAATTAAGTAGTTAAAGTCACAAAGAAAATTATTTAAATTGGGTAATGTTGAGGAAAATTTGCATTTATGAATATAATATCTAGCCAATAAATAAGCACATTTCCTATATATTCTATGTTATGATTACAATAAGTTTCGGAAAGTTTTTTTTCGAGTATGGCCCTGTATGACGTCATGAAGGGCGGAATTCCTTGTATGGGCACTTCTCCCAGAAGAGCGTGCGCACACATCAAACAGAGCGCGAGCACGAGCAGCCCATCAACGCGCTTCATTTGGGTCACGGAAGCAAGCGGCAACCTTCCGGTCTCTCTCTGAAACCAACACGGAAATGACTTAAACTGCAATTCATCGACTGGCCGCTAGAGAATGGCTCCAAAAGGGAGTCAATCCCATAGACCCCCCATGTTAAAATGCCCAATTTTACAGCAGAAAAAAATATGTTTACAGCCTGGTACACAAAGTGGTTTTGGTCTATATAGTTAATTTTGCCCTTCATGACAACTGTGAGGGGGGTGAATTTTTTTTATAAGTCATCCGCTTAAATTATATTAAGACTTAAAGTTCTGCATAATTAAGGGCGTGGCCACTTGAGTGACAGGTGGATTGCCACTAGGCGGGCTTGGTTTCAGCAACCAGCTCCACCCACGTCCTGCCTCCTTGCCCATTTTCGATTATCTGAGAGTGACGCATGGTGCGCGCTGCCAAGATGGCGACGGCCCGCTCCGCCCACTTTAGGCTTCAAAAATGCTCTTCAGAAACCTATGGGTGACATCACAGACACTACGTCCATGTTTTTTTACAGTCTATGCATGGAAGTCGTTGGCAGCGCTGCACAGGATTTGCTCGAGAAATATCTGATATATTGCCAAATATCTGGACCGGTCGGCCGACTCGACATCACGTGGTGTCAAGTGTTGTGACGAGCTACATCCAATAAGAGAGCAAGGCATGGGTTGTGATCACGAACTGGTTAAATCGAACGATTCGTTCGCGAACCGGACATCACTAATCACCGGAAGAAAAACAAAAGCAGCAACATGGCTTAAAGAAAAGTGGACACAATAAATGGAGCAAAATTTTTCATCGAGCAAACAGCTTGCAGCGCTAATTTCTTCCCGACATCCATTTTCAAATAAACAACTCCTGTTTCACGTATTGTTTCGCGTCATTCCCGTTCCAATTCTCGCGAGTGTTTTCGTGACAAAACGTGGTTTGTAGAGTCGTTGCGTGACAGAGTTGTTGTCAGCTTGTGTAGTGTGTAACCCCCGGTTCCGGATCATTTACATAGAGTCACGCAGTGTGAACACCACAACGACTAAAAGACAGACAATCAAGTCATGTAGTCTGAACAGCACAGCAATCTGCCGACTTTAAAGTCATGTAGTGTGAACTTAGCCTTAGGGGTGGAGATGGGTGGGTTTAGGGATCAGGGGGAGGAGAGGTTTAGGTATATGTAAGGCGGGAGGAGTTGGATCTGGATCCAACCACGCCCCCTGGATCTTGTGTTCTGCAGTGAGGACCATCTCCATCTGGTTCTACAACTGATTCTTTACTTTATTTTATTGAATATAAATAATGGTAATTGTCAAAGTCATTCATTTGTGTCGGTGTAATGGCACTAAAATAAGTAAAATAAATGAAACATCAATTCATAAATTAAATCTGCGATCTGTCTATTTTAAAGGGGTCATATGACGTGGCTGAACGTTCACTTTTATAAAGAATATCTCTTTGGGTTTGAGACTTTAATCTTTGCAACTTTACGGATCTTCTGTATGCACGAACAGCTTTTAACACTCCAAAGAGAAAGGAAAACATGAAATCGCATCATATGACCCCTTTAACTCTGCCTCAGTCCTGTTATTTAATTTGAGCTTAATAATTAGGATATTGAAAAAAAACTTGAGTTCGATTCAATCAAACTAAACAAGACAGGTGTGAATGCACCCTTTGTTTGTTCCCTTCATTTCAGTGACGAATGTTTTATAAACAAGGCCCAGTTCGAAGCTGGATATGCAGATCGTTTGATACTGAAAAATAGAGCGGTCCCAGCGATAATAGATCCCGTCATGAGCTGGAACTGCAGGCGGTAAGTAAAACTGCATCAAATTTCTGTGTTTTTTTTTTTGGCAATCGGTGCATAAGTGCTCGGGACTCTTTAGCTCCGCCCTCGGCATGCCTCCAGGAGCTCGGCTGTTTTCGGAGAGAATCGTAAAGCTGTATCTTTTATAAATCTTCTAAAACTAAAGACTCTTCGGAGATATGAAGGATGCAATGCTATTATATAGGTACTACATGAGATTGGCCGAAACTGTGTGTTATGTCCCCTTTATGTATTCTATGACTACATTTCATTTGAACAAAGATGGTGGCAAATATTGTTACTGGAAATGTATTAAAGCTACAGTCCCTAAGTTTTGCCTCTTTGTCGCCATCTCTGTTTGAAAACCTGCAATTGCAGCTACTTGCAGAATTATCTTCCTTGCATGGGTTGTGCACCGGCACGGCTCCAGCGCGGATGAATCTAATGTGTGGCTGTCACTCACTGCACTGGTGTGGATACTGCACTTTGTATTCACAGATTCTACATCTTGAAAGTATGACCCAAATAAGAGTTTTACAGAACCGGCTTTACTGATAAGATGCGCGTTAAATATCGCATGCGATTTATCGTGCAGCCCTAGTAACAACTGCCACTTTTGTTCTGATCAACTGAGGAAAAAAGTATTACAATAAATTGCGCTATCAATAGTGATTAAATCTAACAAACGGTTAGCTCATATAACACCAAACCGTGCCAATTATTATTAGTTATACTTT